AAATTGTCTAAAAGGGAGGGAGTATGAGGTGACAGAGTACAGTAAACTGGAGGTTATTTGAGTTAATTTTGGGTGGAGACATTACTTACCTGATATCTCATCTTGCCGTCCTTGAAAAGTCTCAGCTTGTGTTGGCGTTCGAGGTCCTGTCCATATATGTGTCCCAAGTCAACCTAAAGATATCAGGCAAAGTCAGTCAGATACTAAAGTGAATGTGAAAGGTTGGTGCCACTTCAAAATGCCCTATCTTTAAGATACGCACCCCATGATTTAGGGCTTTTGTGAAAGCTGGACCTTTCTTCATGTCGGTTTTGAAGAACTGGTGTGTAAAATGTTGGGCAAAGAAAGCGAACATAAGACTGGTGTGTTGAGGGTCTGGGATGAACTTCCTCCTGAGAAGCAGTTTCTCAGCCAGAAGCTTCACGTCTGGCAGCTCTTTCTTACCTGGTAAAACAAAAGAAGAATTAATGAGAAAAAGACATCCACCATATACAGTATTTACATCACCAATTCTGAGTGTTAAACATCAATCCAAATCTGTCAAATCAGGAGTTAAAGCATTCTGTGCAATTTAAAAAAAAGAAATTTCTAGCCTCTCTGACTTTAATTGATGGAGATGAACCATAAGTCCTTTGAGGGAGTAGGGGGCACCCATTTCCACCATGGTCTCCCCAAAGATGGCGTTGGTCCTGGGCTTCTCAACCAGCAAGCCAGTATAAAGCTCCACAGCATCCACATGTCCGTACAACTCTTCAAGTTCAGCAGCCATCTCCTTTTCTCCTAAAACATAAAACAAGCTCAGTCAACTCAAATTGTTGTCTGAAATACCATATACCATCCATAATACCATCTATAAAAAACTTAATAAATATTGTAGAAAACATTCATGTTCAGACCTGATAAATGGAAATATATTAACCCTCACCTGTCATTTCTTCAAAGGATTTGTATGGCTTCATGTTAAAGCGTTTCCTGTAGGCATTGATAGATTGGTAGCGAATTTGCCTGCTGTCTTCAATTGACTTTATGGCCACCTTTAACACAGCTGGTGCAACATTACGCCCTCCAGCCACCTGAAGTAAAAGACAAGATTTATAATTCACCAAACCCTCACCACGGGCGGTACCTTGCAACAGTATCTACAACATGTTAATTCAAAACAAGTTAAACTAAACTTATTTTTCTTATCTTAGAATGCCTGATAGCATACCCTTCCAGCCATCTGTTTGGTGAAGGACTCAACCAAGCTGTTGACGCCATAGTCTGTCAGTATAGATGTGTTGAAGAGAAACTGCTTATAACTGTAGACTTCATCCTGGACGTGAAATTCATCAGGCATAAGGGGATGCCAGTGGTAAAGAGTGTTGAACTCAGAAGAGATCCTGTTCTGGTACTGGAAACGCTCATTGAAGAGAAGTTCAGGATCAAACTTGAGCTTAAACTGGTATCCGCTGAGATGTTGCACATAATCTTCAATAACGATTTTGATCGTCTCACCTATAGAGTTAGATTATGCAAAGGTTAGAACCACGGGAGTTGTTGTAAGTGTATTTGTAGGTACAACTACAGGTATGAATACATCCATTAACACATTCTGCAAAATATCCAATTTACATATTCACCTCTTTCTGAATATACTTGTCTACCTGTAACCAATCTAAATTTCCTTTTCTATGGGACACTCACCAATAAGGATGAGCCGTGTGGTCTGAAACAGCCTCTCGTCATCCCAGTCAGGATGCTCCTTCTTTAGTATATCACACACTCGGTTGTGTTCACGCAGCCAGATGGTAGCATACATCATGAGTCCTGGAACCAGTCCAAAGGCCTCGTGACCCACGGCAAAGCGACGAGACTCAGGTACATGAGGAGGGTAGTGCATGTCTACTTGAACCTCACTGACTGTCGGAGGATAAACCTCACCATCCAGAACCTGGTTATGGCAATGAACATGAATTTAGTCAAATTTTCAGACAACCATGCTTGCAATATGAAAGAGGAAGATCAAGTGAAAAATAAGTAACAAGGCAGTAAAAATAGCAAAATTGTCTAAAAGGGAGGGAGTATGAGGTGACAGAGTACAGTAAACTGGAGGTTATTTGAGTTAATTTTGGGTGGAGACATTACTTACCTGATATCTCATCTTGCCGTCCTTGAAAAGTCTCAGCTTGTGTTGGCGTTCGAGGTCCTGTCCATATATGTGTCCCAAGTCAACCTAAAGATATCAGGCAAAGTCAGTCAGATACTAAAGTGAATGTGAAAGGTTGGTGCCACTTCAAAATGCCCTATCTTTAAGATACGCACCCCATGATTTAGGGCTTTTGTGAAAGCTGGACCTTTCTTCATGTCGGTTTTGAAGAACTGGTGTGTAAAATGTTGGGCAAAGAAAGCGAACATAAGACTGGTGTGTTGAGGGTCTGGGATGAACTTCCTCCTGAGAAGCAGTTTCTCAGCCAGAAGCTTCACGTCTGGCAGCTCTTTCTTACCTGGTAAAACAAAAGAAGAATTAATGAGAAAAAGACATCCACCATATATAGTATTTACATCACCAATTCTGAGTGTTAAACATCAATCCAAATCTGTCAAATCAGGAGTTAAAGCATTCTGTGCAATTTAAAAAAAAGAAATTTCTAGCCTCTCTGACTTTAATTGATGGAGATTAATTTCTCAGCAATAGTGTTGTAATAACGTCTTATACTTTTTAAGCTTTTCTCATCCCCACACCCAAAGCATGCAGGCAGGCAGACAGGTTGAGTCCACAAGCTTCCTGTCTAGCAGTGATACTAGAATGTGAATGGTCAGAAATGTGAGAAAACAGGTCTGAGGACAAAGAGACTCACCTGCGACTCCCATTGGTGTTGGGCAATCGTGTGGGACAGGAGGCAGTGTGCGAGTGTAGTAGGAGAGATTAGAGTAGGCTTCCCAGCTTTTGTAACCATAGTCAGCATTGAATAAAGGTGGGCTATCAATCAGATGGGCACGCGCTGGTTTAGGAGGAAAAGAAACTTTTATAAGTTAGTTTTAATTTTGAATTACATGTATAATTTACATTATTGCTGTAAAGAAACGTTTAAGGTTACAATTTTAATTCAAAATGATTTCAAACGGTATGTTAGGCTTAAAAACAATATATCTGGAAAGAAAAGAAACTCTCATAACAACTTACATGTTAGCACATATCTCATTATGCCGTTTCTTAAAAAGGACAAGTTGTTGACAATATTCCACAAGCTTTTGAAGTGTGTGAGAATATAATGCACCGTGCTGGGAGAAGGCTTCAGAGAAACTTTCACCCATGTGAGAAACTCGGCTGTAAAAACGACACCCAAGTAAAAGGTTAGTTGGGTATTGACAGAGAACAGGAAGCTAATTCTACAGAAGTCTATGCAGTTTTCACTTACGTGTTGTGCAGTTTTGACCGTAATATCCAGTGCGTGTACAGTCACATTCATACGAGTCTGAGCCCAATGCCGTACAGACACCTCGATTCTGACATGGCTGAGAGCAACAGGGGTTGGCTGCATCACCAACAATATTGATTATTTTAGACGGCTAGACTTGCATCATTTTCATAATACTGAACTAATTCATAAAGAATCATTATAGATGTGAATACTAAATATATATATATATTAATGAAGAAATGACTTACCTCCTTGGCAAACCATGAACCCCAGGTGCAAAAGAATAAATAATACCAAACTATTCATTCCAGTGGCCGTATAGTAGTAGATGAATTGGGTCGTTCCTCGCCAGTTCAGATCAGAGAATGAATTACCTTCCGAGTGAGAGAGGTGCAGTTTTATGAGCAGCGGAGTGACGCAACATGCTTGACTCTCAATGCTTGAAATGGATGCCAGCATGACTCATCATTAGCACGTCTACAGCAGTGCAAGAGGATCAAACAATGGTATAATCGTTTGTTGGTATGGCGTAACGTTACCTACTGATTATCGGATTATCCGATGTCATAAACTAATATCCCGAAGGCTGTCGGGAGATACGATAATAGCCTCATAGTTTATTTATGTTTTGTCAATTTGTCATATTTTTGGTCACTTACCAATAGGAAGCAAAATAAAACTTTTTCTAAAAAACTGTAATAATAATAATAATAATTCATAATATTCGATACACCATCAGCTAAATGATCGGTCATTTCCCCGGATCAAACTGGAAATTGTATTTAAATTCATTTAAATTCGACTCAAATTCTGAAATAAATTAAAATAGTTTCTTTCCTTTTTTTTTTTTGTGGGGCGCCTATGTGGTGGTGTAATCTGGAGAAAGGGGGAAAGTCTCATTCAATGAAATTATAGGGGGAAAAAGGACAAAAGTTAAAATGATTACTTAATTATTAAAACACAAAACAATACTGTTTTAATGTTAATTAAGCGATACTATTTTAAACATTCAATCGATATTAAATAATCAACGTATTAGCTTTTTGTAGAAAATGTTTTATAAACATCTTTTAAAAAATGCATGAAACCAACATAAATGCATTACATTTAAATAAACGTGCATATGTGTTTTAAACTATCCTTTTTTTCTAAAAAAAAAAATAAATCTTTGATCTTTGATCACCTGTTGAAGTTCATTTCGCATGTAAAGGAACTGCCACCTGGTGGCAGAAATGATGACTCAACTGCGCAGATCCGCTAGCTAGAGAAACCTAGCTGCTTTCCTCATCTCTGCGGACTGTTACCTCGGGAAAACCTCACTCTTTCTTTATGATTGTTTTGCACGAAATTTCCAGAGAGTGTTTTCCCCCCTAAAGACATTTGCCTTTGTAACTTTTTCAGTCTGTAAAACAATGCTTTATTTTTATAGCCTATAACAAATTTACTCAACAATTAAGGAAAGTGAAATCCGTCAGCAATATGAAAAACAATGCACACACAGGACAAATGATACTGCTGGACGAAGATGAGACTTTATCATCATAGGAAGCTTGTCGTAGTACCTCCTCCTCTTCCTTTTCTTCTTCTTAAAAAAAAAGATAGTCTGATAGAAGCGCACTCTCTGCATAGAAGACGATCGATTTTCCCCCTAAAGATTTCTGGCTTGGCGTGCAGTCCAGCAGGGTAAGATGAAAGGTTCATTACTCAGTCTGTTAGTTGTTTACTGCAGGTACGCTGTCGCTCATTAAACATTAACGTCTTGTACAAATAGCGGTGCGAAGCTCGAGAAAATGGTCAGCTCTGTAAGTGTAGTCTACGGACAGTTCAAGGGCAATTACATGTTTGAAAAAGTTTCGATTCGTTTCAGAATATGCTGTTTAAATGTCAAAAGCACATTTCCGTTCATCTAAGTTTAAACTACAGAACTGCTGCAGTTTTGTGATGGATAGGCACTGTTGACAGATGACAGATCTGTCTCAGATCTTCAGTCTTGAAACGTTTTCTTAGCAAGATCATAAATAATGTAGATCTAGTTTGCGAGATCGGAGTTTGGCGTGTTGTAGTTTTAATAATTTTAATAAATAACGGATTTTTTCATTTAATAACACTTTTTATTAATAGTATCCTACGTCAATAAAAAAGACCAGTATGCAATATATATTGTGTTAATGTAAATAATGAGAGTTTCGATTTGTCTTCATGTGTCTTTGTCATGTCTACGTGCCCATGTCCATTCCGCAGTGAAGTGAACGTGCTCTGGCTCAGTGTAAAAATTACACGCTCCGACGAGCATCAAAAGCGTCTTTTGTCACCCAAGGTCCAGTCAGGTCAATGACTGATTTGCATGCTAATTGTGTTTTTGTGCCGTAGTTTTTATGGAAGGACTAGTTTAGCTAATCAGAGAACCTGACATTCTCCTTTACGCAATTTTAGCTTCCGCTGGATTGCACAATATTCACTCCATAATACATGCAATTATAATGCTGACTTCTAAGCACATATATGCTGACTGTCGTAGTCATTGCAGTTAACCAGTGTAGGCAGAGAGCCTCAGAATACTGCGCAGACTGTGGAAGTCAGTCAGACTTTCATCCTGCCACAGACACGGTCTCTGCTGACTCACTGCACACTTCTCGTTTTTAATATGCTTATTTTGACTCCTTTTCAGTCCATCTGTAAAGCCTACCCCTACTCCTTTCTCTTTCACATACACATACACAATCATGAAAAATTGTTTTTGAATTCTTTTTTTGTGCATTTAGATGTCCAGTGGTATATACACCTTCTCTGGGAGCAAAGTTCTTTGAGGAGTTCCTGGGATAACCGGACAGTTTTGTCTAATTTAGTGGTGAAGGCACCATGTCACTCACAGATCATCACATCTTTGTAAGTAAGAAAAAAATCTCAGATTTATGCATAAGAATAACCGTAAAAACCAGTGGAGTGTGGCTTTCAAGATGGTAAGCCAAAACATAAGGCAGTTTGTCAGCACAGATGTTTTTGGGAAACCACTATTTTGGTTTTCCAAGAAATTCTTGTATTTTTGTTAAGTTTACACCGAGAATGCTGATGTGCATCAGTGTGGATGTCATGATATGTCATTCATAGCCTTTTCTTGGACAGGTTCATTGTGCATACAAGGTAGATTGGCCATTGTTGGCTTATGAGTAAAAAACAAAATTATGTGGACTCATTATGTAGCCTTATATGTAAACAGAAACAGAGAAATCATATGCTACCAGCCGTACATCAAACTTTGTTTTATGAGGTCAAGCTCCAAATAAATTCTCTTAAATATCAAGTTTAAGAGAGATATTTTTATGCCTCTGGCTAACTGCCTTAAAGTGACAATGTATTGGTGTGAAAAAGACTTGTTAATCAGACCAGCCAACCACAGTGCACTTATGGGCTTCGCCACTTTTATCGGCACTTCCTAAATTTAGACAGATATAAAGATAGAGATGTATTCAAATTTAAAAAGGTATAAACTATATTTCTTAAAGTCAATCAATTATTTTTCTGTATTTACAATTATAATAATGATAATAAAGATTATTAGTAGTAGTACTAGTAGTAGGGGAACAACTAGCAGCAGTAATGGTGGTGAGCTGAGCGTTCTGTGTATTTTTTAGGTTGAACAGCAAATCTCACACAAACTCAAAGTGAAAGTGTTGCGGGCTGAAAATGTCACCAAGGGACCTCTTGGAGACTTATGTGAGTACTCATATTTTTTACTTTTTAAATATAAAGTTTAGGTACTTACAGAACAGGAATTGTACCTCACACAGCATAATGCATTGCCATCATCAGTTTTAAGCTACTAAGCTCAAAGGAATAAGACCTGATTTGGGCATTTCACAGAATAAATCATGATTACTTCTAACACACTAACTAAACACACTAACATGCTTGTAGTGGATACCCCCGACCCATATGTGGAGTTGTTCATCCCAACTTCCCCAGAGAGCAGAAAGAAAACACGACATATAGACAACAACATCAATCCAGAATGGAATGAGGCCTTTGAATTCATCCTCGACCCCAACCAAAACAATGTTCTTAAGGTAAAGAGAAACACATTTAATTTCTGTTCCAAATCTAAACTTAGTCAGCTCTTCTTCAATATCACTGTCATTATATTAGTGTAATTTGCTATTTACTACACAGCAGAGGAACAGAAAAGAATATAAAAGGTGTAAAATTTTGTAATTTCTGGCCCACTAGTTGCACCAGATGGAAACTCAAAATGATTGTTTCCAAATAGGTTTGCCCTTGTTTATCATTGTTGAAAACATTAACTGTAGCTTAAAACTCATGGTATGTCAAGTGGACACCCACAAAACAGACCAATGTCAAAGTACATCAACCTGAAAATGTATCTGCATATTTAATTGGGATAGGAGAATATTTTTTTAACAGTGAATAAATTACACACTTCCTGATTGCAGTACATTGACCATGGCATCATGTTGCTTTAATAAGGTCTTGGTATTTCCAACTGCGTGTAGTAATTTGAACCTTCCTTCAAATCTTTTACGTTGATCTTTTGGAACGCACTGTTCTTACTTAGTAGTGCGTCAATTATATGGTTTCTGTCTCTTGTTTCCAGTTGACATTAATGGATGCTAACTATGTTGTGGATGAAATGTTGGGTACGGCTTCATATGACATCTCTAAACTTAAAGTTGGACAAACAGTACTGGTGTCATTTCTTATAGGAAAAGTAAGTTTTATCTATTCAAGGAGCACTTTCTCTTTAAAAGCACATGATGCATGAGTTGCTGATGTTTGCAGTTTTTAAAAAGAAAACTGATCCTATCATATTTACTTTTTATAGTACAATAGCTTATATATAGATTATTATATTGTCAAAATGTAAGAACTTTCCTCTTCTGCTGATGTAATTATGTATGTAATAATAATGTCTGTTACTGTCGTTTCACAGATGACCAATGTGTACTTAGAGATTTCCTTGGAGGAGTGGTACGTATCACAATGAACAAAACTGGCTTCTGTGAGTTGTGTACAATAAGATATAACTTTTATATTTGAAGGACTCTTTTTTTACACTGTTCTCAGCTCAGCAATGGACCTGCGATTCAATCTGGATCTGTGCCCTAAAGAGAAGCTCTACAGACAACATCGGCACGATAGAGTCATGCTGGGCATCAAGAAATTGTTGCACATGGAGGAACCTTCCTCCCTCCCTTCCTCTGCTCATGAGGTACTACCCATTCATTGACTGCTTCCTCATGAAGGCTCATATTAGGAATCAGACTGATTCTGGTGCACTGTGATGATGTTCTTTGTTAATGCCATTGTTCTTGTGAGCAAGAGGGGTGCAGTTGCATGAGACACAGTACAGTACGTGTACAGTACAGTAATGCAGATGTCACCTTACTGTCATGAAGATAGAAACACCTAATGAAATACAGCAGAAAGCCAAGACATTCATGACACAATACAAAGAGAAAATGGACAGCTGAGTAGCGCTGCAGACACAGAATTCCCTCAAACAGCTCAGATTTCCACATAACTTTAGGAAAGTCACCATCTACCAGATAAGTTATTTGGCAACATCAAGCAGCTTTGGCAAAATATTTGAAATGTTTGACCATTCAAGCTCTTAATAAAATAAGCACTTTGAAGATTGACAGTGTTTTGTCTTTTGAATGGTCTCAGGCGCCCTTCATTATCAAGTTTCTGTTTCTAGTTCAGTCTGTGCTCAGCATGTGAAAATTGACAATTTCAATCTAAAGAGGAAGTGTTAGATAAGACCTGTGATAACTCATAGGGTTTATGTAATAAAGGATGATTTCATGACCAAAAAACAAAATAAATAAATGAACCATAGGCGGAAATGACAGAAGTTGAACTGCTTTTGTGCATTTAAATGGAATGAGTCACATAGTCAATACAGTTACATTGCTGTTAGAAATGTTAACATTATGGCTAAGAATCCAGAGCACAAACTCAAAGATGCTTCGTTGACATCTTGTTAGCATAAATATGATTTTCTGAAAGCTTCAGCTTCAGTCACTTTTGTGGTGTTAATAGTATGTAAACTGTACACATTTCTGTTTGATGTGTAATTATTTTTCAAAGCCAGTGTTACCTGGTACGTTTTCCTTGTTCTTAAAGACACAGTGTAACTCAATTAGTGGCCGATCTTTTCTTCTATGCTGTGATGTACATGACATGAAACAGATTATCAAAAAGAAAAATGTAGTGCGGGCTCTTGGTTCTGTCCCTCAGAGTTTGCAGCCAATTGTAAGAAAGGGGTGGGGTTTAAGTGGGCAAAATGATTGGAGATGTCCAGCATATGTCACCAGAGAGGAGTCTGTTGTTTCAGTGGAAAGGTCTAGTTTATGATTTATTTTAATTAAAAATGTTAAAAAGTGAAAAAAGTAAAAAACACGTCGGATAATCAGATCTATACCATGCATTTAGATCCAAGAGCATGCAGAAGTGGTCATTTAACATCACATTAAACATTTTGATTACTTTGGAATTAACTTTAGACAAGTTTTGTATTTTTAGTAACTATGCAATGATGTGAATGCAGCATAAATGACTGAATTCCAAGTTCAAGACAATTAATCCCAGTTTGTTTGAGGACACTCTTTGCAGTAAATTGTAAGGTCAATTTTTTTGACTGAATTTTGTTTTAAAGGTACCCTATTGTTAGTATTTTGGTAGCATTCTACTAATATACTACTATACTACTATATTCTACTAAGTTACTAATATTTGTGTTGTCTTTTGTGCAGGTTCCAGTGATTGCTGTTCTGGGATCAGGGGGAGGTTTCAGGGCGATGGTCGGGTTTTCAGGGGTTATGAAGGCTTTGTATGAGTCCGGAGTTCTGGACTGTGCCACGTATGTTGCAGGCCTCTCTGGATCCACCTGGTATGAGGACATTATCTAAGCTTTTTTTATCTTTGTATATTCATCTTTTCAGTTCCTACTCAAATGCTCATTTGCTGTTGTGTGTTTCACAGGTACATGTCCACTTTGTACTCCCACCCAGAGTTCCCCACTAAGGGCCCAGAGCAGATCAACCAGGAGCTGATGAATCGTGTGAGCAGTAACCCTCTCCGACTGCTCCTTCCCAAACACATCACTAACTACGTACATGCCCTGTGGAGCAAGAAGGCCACAGGGCAGCCTGTTACCTTTACAGATATCTTCGGGATGTTGATAGGTGAAACGCTCATTCCCTCTGTAAGTTTCTGATCTTTTGGAGAGAGTTTCATTTGTTCCTGCCTTTTACTTATTCAGAAATACACAATGCCGTATGGCAAAGCAAAGGCTCCATTTCTCTTTCTGCTTTTTCAACAGAGGATGGACACCAAGTTAAGTGAGTTGCAGGAAAAGATAAATGAAGCTCAGGCTCCTCTGCCCTTGTTCACCTGCCTGCATGTAAAACCGGATGTTTCTGAGCTTAAGTTTGCAGGTAAAAGGGCGCATATTTACATTTTCATCCTTATTTTAAACTGTTGGTCAATTAAAACATTAATGCAAAATTTTTAATTGCAAATCATATTGCAAAAATTTTAACATGTATTACAGAATGTCTTATTTAGTATCTGTGCATGCATATTTGTGTCAAAATGTCTATGATTGCAATGTCAAGAATAGCTGATTATTTTCTTATTGACTTCAAAAATCCATTTCCATTGTGGCAACTAATTGTGTAGGGTAATAAAATACCTTGGAAATATACAAAGACTATTATCAGCTACATTGTTGTCAGTGTGTTCACTGAATGAATGGAGGGGATGCCATTTATAGTAGTCTGACCTGTTGAACTGCCTGGTGAGAACCCAATTGCGTCAGCAGATTAGTGTAAGAATGTGAACAAGTATGTAAAAATCTTTTTTTAGTTCAAAGAATACTTGTCTTGTTCTTCTAAAGCCCTAAGAAAGCCCTGAAGTGCCACACGTTTTAGTCGTTTAAAGGTTTGTCTGTCAGTCTGTAATTAAATATAGGCCTCCTAATTCTGTTGTAATTGACTGAGCAGGTCATGCCTCGTGAGCTGTTGGCATCTCTTTCTGGTTTAAGAAGTAAAGAATGGAAAAGTGTACTAAAGACCTTAAGTAAATAAATTAATCTTACCTAAGAACAGAATTGCATCACATGTGAGCTGCATTTTAAAGCACATGGCTGTTTTAATAGAACATAAACTCATTTATAATAAGCATTTTTTCAGACATCACACCTCTCACAGGTATTTTGTTTTTGGTATAAACATGCATCAGTGCAGTTTGTATAACTGCGGCTAAATGAAAGCAACTATTCAGACACTGAGACACTCAAGGGAATCATCCTCACGTCACATCTCATTGAGAATAATCCTAGGAGACAGAATGACATCCGAACCACTCCTACCTCCACAATAGACTAAAACTGTGATAACTGTCAAAACCTCACTTTGATTAATAATTTTTGTCTGAAAAAGCATCAGTCAATTTTCTGCAGGCCCACTCACACAAAAGCTATTTTCGTTTAGTTGATTCATGCATCTGCCTTCGTCAGAAGTGACATGCATTATCAACATTCTCAGGAAGCTGAAATCTGAAACACTGCTTTCGCACATTGCCAGAAACGATTTGAAATATGCAATTTGTCATTATGTTTCTTGGAACCTAGTGTTGGTCTGATGTCCGAAATTATAATTCACCCGTATATAATTGGGCTTCCTCTTATTATTGTTATCGTTAGTGTTTATTTGTTGTCATGGGCATGTCTTGCAGTTTTCTGTTGGTTGTGGATACATTTCTATTGTCGTTGTGTTTTGATTGGCGTGTTTTAACTGACAGATTGGGTGGAGTTCAGTCCGTATGAGATCGGTATGGCTAAATATGGAACCTTCATGACCCCTGACATTTTTGGAAGCAAGTTCTTCAGGGGTAACGTGGTCAAGAAGCATGAAGAGAACCCTCTTCACTTCCTTATGGGTACAGAGTCTTTGTTTTTTCTGGATTTCTCTTAGTAGTATGCAGAGAATCATAAGAAAGTGAAATTGTCAGTGTTCTTATGGAAATAGTGACACCATATAGTTGGAATCTTCACAGAGTCAAAAATCACCTGATTTAAGGGTGTTGGTTCAGTCATTTGCAATATTCCCATCCTTACTGCATCATAAAACAAGAAAAGTTAGTGTTGCACACACTCAAAATTCAGGACAGTCATTGGGAGCATAAAGAAACATTCTTTGAAGGGTGTATCGCAAGATAAAGTTTCACTGCAGATTTACTGTTTATTTTTAAAACAGTGACGTGAAGATCTGCAAAGGTATTTGTTTTCTGCTGTTTTAACCTGACATCCTCTATAGAAACTTAGTTTTAACAAAAAGTCTAATTTTACAATTTTATAACCTTGGAGGATAAAGACAATGATTAAATAGATTTTAAAAACAATTTTATACTTTGGGAATTTTTTTTAGGACCATTAGGGCTTATTTATTTATTATTATTATGTTTTATTTTCATTATTATTATTATCATTAATTAATCGTCAAGTACAATTGTAAAACACAATGTTAAGTATACACCATGGTAGTATTTGAACTTAAAGGGTTAGTTCACCCAAAAATGAAAATTAGGCTGTGTTTTACTCACCCCCGAGGCATCCTAGGTGTATATGAGTTTCTTCTTTCAGACGAATCCAGTCGGAGTTATATTAAAAATGGTCTTTGATCTTTCAAGCGGTTTCATGGCACTCAGCGGGTGTTGCATGCTTCAGTCCAAAAGAAGTTAAATAAAAAGTGCCCTTCCATAAAAAAAGTGTCTCACACGGCTCCGGGTGTTGAACAAAGGCTTTCTGTAGCGAATCGATGAGTTTTGTAAGGGAAATATCCATATTCAAAACTTAATAATCACTTTAATCTAGCTTGCGCCAGCAGTTATAGATATTTTTCTTACAAAAACGCATCGATTCGCTACAGAATGCCTTTGTTCACCCCCCGGAGCCGTGTGAGACACTTTTTTTTAATGGAAGGGCGCTTTTTATTTCAGGTCTTTTGGACTGAAGCAATGCAACACCCGCTGAGTACAACGATAGAGCTTGAAAGATCAAAGACAATTTTTAATATAACTCCAACTGGATTCGTCTGAAAGAAGAAAGTCATATACACCTAGGATGCCTCGGGTGAGTAAAACGCAGCCTAATTTTCATTTTTGGGTGAACTAACCCATTAATTTTGGATTTAATTTATTTTCTTTTACTTTTGAGGTGAATAATGGTAAAATAATACATCATCATGTTTTAGTATATGGGATACAGTGTGTTTGTAAATGTTGCACAGGTGTGTGGGGCAGTGCCTTCTCTATCCTGATCAACAGAATTCTGGGATTCAATGATGTGAACAATGGCAGTACAATGGAGGAAGAACTAGGTACGATCACCAGCTTAATTACAGATCTAAGAACAGTTTCACATTGCCCTTCTACTCTTTCTAATGAAAACACATCTGTTTTCATCTGCATGCCACACAAATTTCCACAGATTTGTGTAGAATGTGAATGTCCTTCATTAAAAAAGTTATTTTCCCCTTGTGTGTTAAATGCATGTATACATATTAATAATATTCTTGTTGTATATGTTGCAGAATGATGGTGCCTTTAGTGTTTGAATGTGTGATGTAGGATGGCATGAAACTTTGTTGTTATCAGATAGCTACACCAATGTGTGGTTACTAATGAACTTCTGCTTAAATAAAGCAACAGTCGTGAAGCCCACATCACATGCAAACATCCTGGCACACACACTCATTCTGGGATGATCTGAGAGATTGTGATAATCTCAGGAAGACATCTGTTGGAGCTAGTTCGCGTTGTGGCTTTGATGCTCATTTGCACATTTCTTCTGCAGAACAGATCAAACCGGAACACATTGTAGGAGAGGACAGTCTAGATAATGATGAAGACCCACATAAAGGTGAGATTTTACAACATCTACACTACACAGTAAGTAGCTTAGTGCAAACATTTCAATGCCATGGACCCCCAACATGCCCTTGGAGGAACCTCTTTCCTACATTATAAAGGCAGGTATATATTTGCATGTATAAAGACCAAATTTATGCCAAGAAAAAATAAAAACATTTTAATTATGTGCAAAATATTATTTGGAAAATATTACAATAATAATGTCAAATGTATTTTAATTAAATACTTTTATTTATTTATTTCATTGTAAAAAAAAATTTTTTTGGATCCCACAGCACCCTATCAAAATATCAGTGCAAATCCTTAAATATAATGATTTTGGTTTTGTCTTACACCTGCAGAGGACGAGTATCAGGCGAGCTGGATGCAGCGTATGGTTAGCTCTCTCCTCAGCGACTCGGCTCTTTTTAAAACACGAGAAGGCAGAGCAGGAAAAGTACACAACTTCATGCTGGGCTTAAACCTCAACAATGATGTGCCACTTTCCCATTTCAATGAGACCGTCAGTCCCATGGGGGATGAAATTGATGCGGTCACAGGTATGAGTTCACGTTTGTTATGGTCATTTTTAAGTTTACTGAATTAATCTCAAGTGTTGCCTTATTGTTCTTTTCTAATTTTGGATGCTTCCAGACCCATTTGAGTTTGACCGTATCTACGAGCCGTTAGACGTAAAGAGCAAGAAGATTCACATGGTGGACAGTGGCTTGACCTTTAACCTGCCTTATCCTCTGATTCTAAGGCCTCAGAGAGGTGTTGACCTCATCATCTCCTTTGACTTTTCTGCCCGGCCGAGTGACTCTAGTCTTCCATTTAAGGTTAGTACATGGGCTATCAATTCAACATGTTAATTTAGTGTGATCAGTTATAATAAACAAAGAAAGATAAACGGAAAAAAACAAGTAATTATCTGTATATCAATTTAGTAGTATAAAGAACCTTGCCACAGTAAATATATGTGATTTAGTTTTATTGATTATTTAATCTGCATATGATGTAAAATCATCCACAGACAATATGCATGACATACAGGTTTTGTAAATGATTGTTGCTTTGTAGGAACTTCTGCTAGCTGAGAAATGGGCACGAATGAACAAACTTCCATTTCCCAAGATCGACCCAAAGGTGTTTGATCGGGAGGGGATGAAGGAGTGTTATGTATTTAAGCCCAAACAAGGAGAAAAGAACTGCCCTACTATCATCCATTTTGTCCTGGTCAATATCGAATTCAGGACATTCAAAGCCCCAGGTCAGTGTTCTTTGTGTTCGCGTCTGTGTTCTTAGGGAATCTTTTATGAAAAAGTCAACTTTGCATATAAAAATGTCATTAAAAGATCAGACATCTCAAATTAGTCAAGAAAACTAAGAAAAGAAAGAGATGTTTTAAAAGCTTGGTGTATTTTGAAGGTGTTCCACGTAAGACGGACAAAGAGAGAGAATTTGCAGACTTTGACATCTTTGATGACCCAGAGACGCCCTACTCAACCTTTAATTTTCAGTATTCCAATCAAGCCTTCACCCAGCTACAAGACCTTATGGAATTCAACACGCTTAATAACATAGAGGTCAGTTCAGCTCAGATACTGTACATGCTGATTTATACGTTTTCTATATTAAAGGTAAGGTAGGTGATTTCATAGAGACTAGCAATAGCAAGCTAGCTTTGCAAGCATAAGATCCCACCCTCCCTACAAATCACTCTCTAAAGCCATGCCTCCTCCAAAACACATGAACGCTCACAGACAGACCAGAGGCTAAGCAGCGACACGATGAGAAACACCGTTGGTGGAGGCTTGAATGCAACATTACAGTACAAAGTGCATAATATTATAATAATAACACCTTCCATTCTCGCTCGGTCTGCAATAGCGTAATGTAATACATATCATGTCTGCCCGAGCAGGGTGCACGGAGGTATGCAAATACATACATTAATGGGCAGGTAGGACAGTCTATCGTAGCCCTCAGCTTGGACCGAGGGATATGATTGGATGAAAATTTTTTGGTCCTATGCCTTCCACAGACGATATAAATGCATATAAATACATTTAGACCACTTAACTTAGTGATTGCTATTGGGATGTGAAAAGACTTTTAACCAGCAAAACAAAAAATGTTTTTGAACCAAACCACCTACCCTGCCTTTAATATTCAACTTAAATTAGATTGATAATACTACTTTGTTCTTGCAGTTTCAATGGGAAACAATATTTTAGAGAATAATGTTTGCAATGTATTACAGTTAGTTGTAGCATATATATATATATATATAGATGCGTCTCTCTAAATAAGAAAGTCTTGGAAAAGTTAATTTATTTCAGTAATTCAACTCAAATTGTGAAACTCGTGTAT